TATGATTAATAAATATGATTTATTTTGTAAATATTTTTGTTATTCATACAAGTCAACAAATGTTTGCTTCTTAATTTGCATACTCAATTAGTAGTAGGTGTTTATGTATAAAATTATTATGAACAATTAGCACTCAAAGACTAATAAGTTCATAAATGTGATCGGTCTATTTCATCTTTTGTAGCAAATAAAAAATTAATATTTTATTGAACTTTAACCTTTTTCTTTGCCATATGCGAAGATATGTGGTTACCAAGCAATCAAAACAAAACAAGCCCTGCCGACCATATGTAGGGCTTCAGTGACGTTTCCATTAACACCAGCAAACATTTGATGCCAATGAATGCCATTTGAGCTATTTTTAGGTAATTCCAAGTATTATTACGCTCAATGGACACCAATAACACCAATATTCATTTGCGTATGCACTTCTGTTCCAAGGTGTGTCTACACCCTGATTTCACGATTTCACCCAATATATGCATGCAAGTATCCTTAAGAAGCAATGGGCACATGGCCGAGTGTCTTCCAAGCTGAAATCCACGCAATCAACTTATGCGTAAGATCCAATTTAATCAAAAAACCTTCTGGCTCGAAAATTGTTATTTACTCTGACAGCCAGGCTGCTCTTAAAGCTCTTTCTTCTTGGACTTTCAAATCAAAACAGGTCCTTGAGTATTACGATCTTCTGCAATCACTTGCAGCTCGGAATAAGGTAAACCTTTACTGGGTTCCGGGCCACAGAGGAGTTTTGGGAAATGAAAAAGCTGATGAGCTAGCCAGAACTGCATCAAAAACTGCTTTTATAGGCCCTCAACCCTTTTGTGAAATAAACAGATTATCAAGAAAATGGAAAATCATATGCGGCTGGAGTACTGGGTAAACTTTCCAGGACTCAGACAAAGCAAAGCACTGATAACACCTTACTCCTACAAAAACATTCTTAAATTCTCAAAATGTAATTTAAGGATGATAACGGGTTTCATTACAGGTCATTATGGTCTGAAATATCACCTTCATAAACTACAATTATCTGCTAACTCGGAATGCAGATTATGCCTCGAAGATGAGGAAACAACCATGCACATTCTGTGTGACTGTCCAGCTTTAATAACGCACAGAAGAAACCTGTTTCATAAGGAATTTCTGTCACCAGAACAGATTAAGAACTCTTCTCTAGATTTAGTTCTAGACTTTATTCACAAAGCTTTAAGGGGCTTTGTTTAATCAATAGTGAAACTGGTACAATAGGTCTCTTCTGGCCGCAGTACCGGCTGTTGGGCAATTTTCACGAATACCTTTTATTATTATTATTATCCTTAAGTTTCTTACAGAGGTAAGTGGGCGTATATGTTTATTGTTATTATTTTATTATTCTTATGTGTATCGTGTATGTTTCTTAATATTTTAATGTACATTTGCTGGCAACTCAGATGTGTAAAGAAATTAGGTTTAATGTTTGCTTTGAGTTCAGATTTTTAGTCACTTCATAAAAAATTTCTTCCAGTGACGTCATTTACAATATCAATGGCGATTGTTATTATTTGCCTTTAACTGCATCATATAATATTACAAGTAAATATTGAATATTATATCCAATGAACCATTTAAACGTAATATAATAATCGTTATGAGTTTATTCACACTTCATTCTCATATTTGTTAAAATGAACTCGATTTATTTTCATTAATTTCATTTCTTCTTAATATCTTATTTTCAATATAATTTTGCTTATAAAAATGTAATAATAATAATTTTTAAGAAATATTAAAGTAAAGTAGCTAAACTTTTTTGGTTAAAGGTGGCACAAATTGATTGAAGAGAGGACGACAAAATTGTATAAAAAAATATTCGGGTGTAATGGTTAATAACAGTTAGACAATTCCATATAAGTTTAAATTTATATTATATATGCCTAAATTTACAAATTTATTAGGGAAAGTACTGAAAATGGAAAATATCATTAAACAAAAAGAACACCATATAATTGTTATCTCTCCAACCTCAACTTGTTTAACAGAAATTGACAACGTATTGGGTGATATTGGTAAGTGTCCGAGTTCTTTTAAAACTTTTTTGATCAAATATTTTCTTATTAAATATTTTAAAATTATATAAATTATTTAAAATTATTTTAAATATTTAAAATTATTATTACATATTTCCAAATATTTGAAATTAAAAATTCATTTCAAATACTTGGCTTCACTAAACCTTACAAATATTACTGTACAACAAATATTACAACTAGATCATGCTTATCTTTTATATACCATTAACTTAAAAATTTTTAATATTAAAAACACTTCATACGAAACGGTACCAGAATTAAAGACATTTTGGTTAGGATACCATGTAAAACTTTTTCTTTTTTTTTTGCAATATTTAATATTAAATAATTTTGGTGATTTTTTCTTCTTTAAGCCCTATCGAATTTATCAATCTTAAGTATCATTATCATCTTCCTTTATCTCTCTATTTCGCTTTCTGTCTCCCTTTCTGTCTCTATCTCTTTCTTTCTCTCTCTCTCTCTATTTGTCACTCTTTCCTCACCCACTCTCTCTCTCTCTCTCTCTCATTAGGTTAGGAATTTTTTCTATTTTTGGTTCTCAGGCTTTATGATTTAGAAATCTCCTCTCTTTCTCACTCTTCCCTCTCCCCCCCTCCCACACCCACTCACTCACTTTCTTTAGGTTAAGAATCTTTTCTTTTTTTGGTATCTCAGTTCTTTATGATTTACAAATCAAAATTGTTTCCTAGGAAGGAACTTTCTACTTCAAATAAATTATTTTTTATGAAAGAATATCTGAGGTGTGAAAGTTTTTACTTCTCTACCTTTGATAATATTAATATTTAATAAACAAATTTGTTAATTTTTCGTTTTCTACAGTATAAGAGTTAACCTTTGAACTTATTCTAATTAATGTAGAATCCATTTAAAGATAAATACAAATATTTTATATAAGAATGATTTAATATGAAATGATTTAAGAAAAATAACTATTTGTTTTTGTTTTTAGTACTAATATTTATTTTTATTTTTTTATGTATTGTTTATTCTAAGTGAAAGAATAATATTTACTCTTTCAAAACCACTCGTTGTCATAATAAAATTTGTGCAAATTCAAATTAAGTAAAAAGCAGAAATTAATGAAAATATTCTTTGTATTGTAATTGGACAATAGAGGAAAATTTCCAAAAGATATTTCACTTTATTACACAGCGTGTGATTTAGCGGCAGCAATCAAATAGAAACATAAAAGGAGAAGGAATGCATGGACTTTGATGGAAAGAACTGCAAACGGAAGTCGCAAGCGAAGTGACTAGAAAGTCACACTACATTACGTAAATGTCCATTTGAAAATGAACTCTAAACGTCATTTTCGGAACTCATATGAGAACTTGATTTTAATAAATAAGATCAAGTTCTTTTATGCATTAGTATGAAGAAAATTTATCATTTAATATAATTTATTTTACTCAATGTGATCAAAAAGATATCCATATATATAGACAAACTCTTAGCTACGAAATAACAACTGCTAAAACTATATGGGATTTGCTATTAATCACTTACATTAATCACTTACATGCAGATACCTTACAGTTATCTGATTATTTGCGGGTAAGATGCGTTTTTTTTTCTAATTTTTAAAAGCAAATTTATAGCTCTCTTACTTACCAAGGCAATGTGATCTGTACTCCAATATTTTGTTTAACAGTTCTGAATTTTATTTAAAACTTCATGTATAAAAAATATATTATTACAATTTGAATCAAGCTAAAAGTATGTCGCATTATAGTTTCATCACATTATTTTTTTACAAATCAATAAACAAATTTTAATACATAAATTTTAGAATTAATATATTATATTAACTATAGTCATTTATCAAGAACCCTTCCTACCATATTTAGATACGTAGAAAAAGTATTTTCTTGTTTTAAATCATAGTTAATAATATATACAATATGTGATGTATCTCATCTCACTAACCAAAGGTCAGAATTTTCTTTGTAGCGCATTCAAATGAAATACAAATTAATTCAAAAACTCAAAGAAACAGTGGAAAAATACTTTTATATGATACGGTAAAGAAATGTATCTGACAAATAAGAGATATTTGATTAAAATGATGAGCGCTTGATTTGTATATTTCAGCCATTACAGTTGTTACAATTGTTGTTGTTGTGGGCAACTTAAATTATTCGTTGACTTAATGTTGCAATTGTTTCAACTGAGTTATGGACGGAAATTTACTTAACTTAAAGATAATTTATTTTATTGGCAGTAACATCATAAAGAATCGCAATCAACAGGTAATCATGATATGAACAATTAGCAATTGATAAAAATTATTTCTTTAACCAAAAAAAAATTTAAAGATGAGTATAAATGAGTATAAAAAGTATAAATTGGGATTATTTTCTAGTAAAATATATATAAGAAAGACTGTGAATTAAAGTCACACTTCTTTTATTATATTATTGATAATTATTATTGTATATAGTACTAAGAGTCTCATCAAATTGGAACAACTTAGTAATATTGTCTCTTTATTTTATTAAAATTTCTTATTGTCCTCATTCCCTTCCTCCTCTTCACCATCATCTTCTTACTCTTTCTCCTCCACATGTAATAATTTTTGCAGTACATATCTTTATATTATTATTATTGTTAAGGAATGTGGCACTGCGACCGAAGGGTCTCTTCTGCTTCTTCTGGGCTTAGAGTAAGTTTCTAAGCCCGTCAATAATAAATAGCATAGAACCTACTTTACACAGTTTTATTGCCTCTTCCATAAAAATATCTTTATATTAAGGAACACATCAACAATTAACAAATTCTTTTGCATATTTATAGGGGCAATAAAAAGAAAATTTTTCGTGGTTATAAAAACACATATATATTATAATTTAAATAACTTATAAACATTGTATATATGATAACAAATATATATTATTTTTAACAAAACTAAGGTAAAAAACTGCTAAAAATAATAAAATTATCACGAATTTGAGTAATTTATATTTTCTTCAAATATATAACACTCCTTCCAGCGTCCTCCCAAATCTTTTGTGTCAGTCACTTTGAAGTTTTGAATACAGCATAATTCCTTTTCTTTTGAACTTAAAAAACGATTACTATTCTTTCCGCACTCTGTTATAAAAAAATTTATTAAATATTCAGCAAATTTTATAGATGTTTCGGAATGCATAGAATCATCTTTGAAAACATCTTCGAAAACTGCACGTTCTGGATGAAATTGACAGCCAAAAAAGGGAAAACTTTAAGAGTTACGTAAATAAAATAATGAAAAAAAAAAAACAATTTGTTACTATCTTAAAAAAATATATAAAAAAGATATATAAATCAATAACTAATTATTAATTTTATTTATATATAAATAATCTAAAACATGATTTACGTACTGTTTATGCTCAGCAATTGTTATAAAGTCAGTTTCATCTATATTTCGTTGAGTTGCTAAAACTTTCCATTGATCATCTATATTATATGTTTTTAAAATCTATAGAAATTAAAAGAATAATAGGAGAAACATTGCCTAATTTAATATTCTTAAATAATATATACAGTTTTAATAAATTAAATATATATATATTAACTAATATGTATTTTAGTATAAAATATATCTGAAATATAATATTTAAACCAATAAAATATATATGTGATATATTGGTACTCTACCAGACGACTACATATCCAAAGTAAATAAAGATATAACTCAATTATTATATACTTAAAATAAAGTAAAATATCTGAATATAATATAACAAAAATAAAAACACAAAATAAAACAAGAAACAAAATAAACATATACAAAGTGATTTAAATATGACTTTAATATGTAAATAAAATAAATATGAATTTATTTTAAAAGACAGAAGTATATAATATAAATCTGGTATCAACTAAATGTTTAATTAAAACTAAATAAAAATTAAATTATATAAAACTCAAATTATTTTTTTTTTATACTAAATTAAACGTTTATTCATTTTATTCAACCTCTTTTCTAGGTCGTGTACTGCGACCTAAAAGATCTATTATGCCCCTTAGCCGAATTAGAGTGTTTCTCCAAGTCCGATTTCTTCAATGAAAGACAGTATAGAGCCTTTCTTTTCTAGTCTTGGATCTTTATGATCCATGAAATACCCTCCTAGGTATTTCTTCCGCTTTTGCATAAACCTCTTAATGTTTTTTCATTTATAAATAAGGGATTTTAATTATTCATTTGTAAATTTACAATAAGCACAATATTCGTTCTAATAGTTAAATAAATGCTTTATAAAATTATATTATTAATAATTTATTAATTTTTTTCCTTAAAATTTTGTTACAATACTTAATATTATTTAAGTAATTTCAACAAAATTATTTTACCTCTTTAGTGACACAGAACTGGTGATGATGATGTGCACATCGTTCTTTTTGTACTTGGCTCTCCAGTTCCTGACTCAATTTGGAAAATAATTTAGAGTTACGAAAATCTAGAAAAAAATTAAGAAAGTTTTAAATAATAAGCGATGAAGAAATAATTGATTGTTAATTATTTTTCAACTATATTTCAGATCTTTTTCCGATTTCCCTAGCACGTCGAATTGTCCTTGAGTTTTGAATAAAGTCAACTATTTCCACTACGATCTAAATCTATTTTATTTATTTTCAACATATCGAGGCTTAAAGTTGTGAAGTTTTTATTAACAAAGCTATGCGTACCATCTAGCGCCAATTAATATTTTACATTGAATAGACCAGGGCTGTCCAGACCAGATAAGAACGTGGGCCAATAGAAATCCCTAAATAGGTTGGAAGCCCGCAGAAATAAATACATACGTTCATAATATTTGCGGAGAACAATAAAAATAAGACGATAATGATAAATTTTAGTTTTATTAAGTCTTCATTATCTTTTACAATTCTATCACTATCAGCAGTATTAATATTAGATGTTATACAAAGAAATATATACTAAAATCTTTGCCAATTAAATTAATTAACGTGTAATGTAATAAAGTATTTTAATAAAATTTTAATTCATTTATTTAGGATGCCACAAAAAGTAATTAATGTGATGCTACAAAAATATAACAAAGAAAAATTTGTCTAATCCTGTTAGACTAGAAACATGTCGCGGCTCGCATGAAGCCCGTGGGCCGTGTTTTAGACAGCCCTGGATTAGACTAACAATAAGTAGCGAGTATTACGTATACAATAATTGGCCTCATATATCTCAAGTAACTAAACTATAGTGAATTTATTTCATAGTTTAATTATATATGTTATATATAATATATTTATATATAATTAAAAAAACAAGTTAATTTATATAGCAATATAAAAATAATAAAATCTTTATAAAATATATAGTACATATTTAAAATTAAAAATTTTATATCCTATGACAATAATTTTTTTTTTGAATGAATTAAATATTATATATATTTGAGAATATATTTTAAATAATATAATTTGTTTAATTTTACCTTCTTCAAAAATAATATTCATGGAACCATTTACTTTAGCACAATTCTGTCTTGTATTAGTGTCATCACCAGTGGTTGAGTGTAGGAACATTAATTGAAATCCTAAGCAAATACAAAATATTGGAAGATCCATTTGTTTCCGTGCTATCTCAAAAATTAATTTTGCACTCTCAATGCAATCGTTTTTATATTTTTCATGTTTCTCAAAAAGTACAGCACCTCCAGGTAAGAGTATTCTAGAGCAAAAAAATGACGTAGTAGAATAATGTATGACGGATTCAAAAAAAGGTGTCTATTAAGCATCCATTTTTACAGAACCTATGATTATTTCCTGAGTTCTGTATTATTATACTTACCCATTTATTTTACACATAATATCAATGTAGTATGATTGTTCCTTGTTTATCCTAAATAAAAAGAAAAACATACTTTAAAAATTATTGTATTATATTGACAATAAAAAGACGTTATAAATGGCTGAAGTAATAAAATATAAACAAATGGGTTCGACCATATCGATGGCGTGCATTACTTTTAATAATAGAAATACTTTCCAATCAAAAAGAGGACGGAAAAAATAAATGAAAAGTGATTTTATATTTAAAATTTTTTAATATAATATCCATTAGAAGCAATATATAAGTGTATGTACAATTTTAGTGTAGCTTATCTGTGATTCCTAGAGGATTATTAGATCAGCCATAAAGCGCTTTTGATGAAGTATTTATTAATTCAATAGGGAAAAGTCATTTAAAGAGTGGGGTCTTATTATTATCTAATTGTTTTTAGGGATAATATCAATAATTTAACTACTTCAAAGATCGCACTGAGGTTTTTATGTAAGCTATGAACAGAGTTACTGATATGAAATATGCTTACATATATAGCATACATATCGTTTAATTTAAATATTCTGGACTGCTCAATTCACAGCGGATTGCCCTGTCTTATATGTACTGTATATAATACTGGTATTTTCAGTTTTTATTTTTATTTTATTTTATATTATTCTATTAATTTATATAATTTTATTTTTATTTTATTTTCGTACTTTTAAAATAAAAATTTTAAATCTTTTTCCAAAAAACTACTCGTATGCTTTAGACATCTATTATCGCTTTGAAGATATCAAAAATGACTAACATATAACATCTAAAATTTATATATAAAAATTTACATATAAAAATTAATTAAAATATTTTTTTTATTATAATCATAATAATAATAAAAGGTATTCGTGAAAATTGCCCAACAGCCGGTACTGCGGCCAGAAGAGACCTATTGTACCAGTTTCACTATTGATTAAACAAAGCCCCTTAAAGCTTTGTGAATAAAGTCTAGAACTAAATCTAGAGAAGAATTCTTAATCTGTTCTGGTGACAGAAATTCCTTATGAAACAGGTTTCTTCTGTGCGTTATTAAAGCTGGACAGTCACAAAGAATGTGCATGGTTGTTTCCTCATCTTCGAGGCATAATCTGCATTCCGAGTTAGCAGATAATTGTAGTTTATGAAGGTGATATTTCAGACCATAATGACCTGTAATGAAACCCGTTATCATCCTTAAATTACATTTTGAGAATTTCAGAATGTTTTTGTAGGAGTAAGGTGTTATCAGTGCTTTGCTTTGCCTGAGTCCTGGAAAGTTTACCCAGTACTCTAGCCGCATATGATTTTCCATTTCCTTGATAATCTGTTTTGTACTAGCCCAGTTTATTCCACAAAAGGGTTGAGGGCCTATAAAAGCAGTTTTTGATGCAGTTCTGGCAAGCTCATCAGCTTTTTCATTTCCCAAAACTCCTCTGTGGCCCGGAACCCAGTAAAGGTTTACCTTATTCCGAGCTGCAAGTGATTGCAGAAGATCGTAACACTCAAGGACCTGTTTTGATTTGAAAGTCCAAGAAGAAAGAGCTTTAAGAGCAGCCTGGCTGTCAGAGTAAATAACAATTTTCGAGCCAGAAGGTTTTTTGATTAAATTGGATCTTACGCATAAGTTGATTGCGTGGATTTCAGCTTGGAAGACACTCGGCCATGTGCCCATTGCTTCCGAAATGCTGGTGTTGGGTCCAAATACACCAGCGCCAGTGCCTTCATCCATCTTTGATCCGTCTGTGTACCAAACCAAACTTTTTGGGTCAACCTGTGGGCCTCCATTCTCCCACGTTGAACGTGATGGTAGGTGTACCTCAAATTTTTTGCCAAAACGATGGAGTTCTGTTGTATAGTCTCCATCGCATTGAGGAATTTTATGTGCTCCAAATATTTTTAATATTGTTGTATGACCACAGTCAAGACAACTCTTGTTCATGTGGAGTTTTAGTCGAAGCGCACTAAGCGCAGCCGTAGATTGAATGTGTATGTGCAGAGGTGTCAATCCAAGTATAGCCTCAAGTGCTGCAGTTGGACTTGTCCTCATAGCACCAGTCATTAAGAGACACGCTAATCTCTGGAGCTTCATGCAAACAGCAATAGATCCAGCCTGTGTGACCTTTTGCCACCAAACCAGGCAACCATATGTCATGATAGGACGTACTACTGCCTGATATATCAAAAATATAATCTTTGGGTTTAGGCCCCAAGTTTTACCTATACAGGACCGTATTGTCCATAAAGCCGTTAATGCTTTGTTATATACTTTATTTAAGTGTGAACTCCAAGTGAGTTTACCATCTAGGACAACACCTAGGTACTTTGTTTCACTGGAAAGAGAAATATTAGTGTTTCCTAAACGTACGGGACCTATGTCTAGTTTACGTTTGAGTGTGAAAGGCACAACAACATAATCATTATAATCATTGTTATTAACCTAAAAAATGTATAGGTTTTTTTTTGCCATAGAACATTTTATCTTTTATATAATATTGTTTAATATGATATTAAAAAATAAAAATAAAATATATAAAAAATAAAATATATAAATAAAAATACTTATTTCATTTGTTAATTTCAAATAAAAATTACAGAGTTCGTTTATGTATAACAGATATTATAGTCTATTTTATATACTTATTTTATGTTATAGTAGTGTACTTTATAATACTGGAGATAGTCTACAAAGTCAACAGAAATATCTGTTTTAATTATGTAAACTGATTAGTTTTTGTTTGTGATGAGCAAATGAATAATTGCATTTTTATATTTTTTATTTTATTTATATTACATTTTCAAATACATAATAATTTTTATTTAATTTATATTCGATTAAGCGCGAAGTGCTGAATATTTTTTACACTTGTGAAAGTTATTAGTAATAAATTTACATATGTATATACAATGTATTATATTGTATCATACAATCTGTGTTGTTAAATAGAAACTGTTTGTAAAATTAATGATTAATTCATTTAACCATATTTAAATTAGAGAACACACACGAATTACGCAAATACATATATATATATTTATATATATATAAATGATTTAAAAGTTAAGGTTTTTTATGTGTAAAGTTTACTAGAATATTATGTCTCGAATACTATTAATATTGATAAATACTTTCTACTCTATATTGTTAAAAAAAAAAGAAGGTGAGGGAGAGCTGTGGGCGGTTTGTCGTAAGCACCTAAAAAAGGAATCGATGGAACTTATATGGATGTTTAGCTATTATTATTTCTGCATGACATGATAGATTAATAAAGAAAATTACTTTGTCTGAAAGCACTACCAAAATAAATTTCTAGCTATGAGGCCTGCTCAAATATCTAATGATTTCATTTACAGTCCAATAAATTGTATATTCGATTATATGACATATGTAACAAACACACGTAAATATGAATGTTTTCATTAGTACTTAAAGTTGGGGATTTTGCTTTTATTAAAAGCTACTTCTACAATTGTAAAATTTAAACTATTCAAAATTCTGCATAAAAACAATTTTTTAAATTTGACTTTATAATATACTATATTTAAAATATTTTTTTAATATTCACTTCATTAGTTAAATATAAAAATAAGCCAAAAATACTGAACTGAACATTTTAAAATTTATTACCACAAACGACTATGTGTACAGTATATTAAATAGAATTATAACACAATATAAAACTGTTATACGCGTAAATTATAACAAAAATAATTGTTAGAGATATTATTAAATATTATTAAATATTAAATTATTAATAAATATTATTTATTATAGTATATATCTGTCAATAATTTTTAATAAAATATAATTTAAAATAAACTATATATATAAATAATTTAAAACTGAATTTTTTTAATACAAAATTATACATATGTTAACATCATTTTTAAAAATACTGTTATACAAAAATGAAAGCTTCCAAAAAGTCCAAATTAAGAAAGCTTTCAAGTTTTCTAAAGCAAGCGCACAAATTCCGAAACGTTTTATTTTTCATTGGCATAAAGTTAAGTATTTATATACATATTTTCTTGAATTTTTATTTTATATAATTTTTACCAAATCGGCACTACTTTTGCACCAGCGGCTTCCAAATACTGTACATACGACGCGGGAATGTAACTTTTCACTTTATCGCCGAACGCGTCTATTAAGATATGCGCTGCATCGATGCAGAGCACTCCGATGTGCAGGTCGTTCGATGAAGTGGATGCCATTTACAACTGCACTCGCTAGAATTTCAGAAGGCTGTGCAACCAAAAAACTTTTGCACATCGCCTGAGCGAATGAAAACTTTTCGTATTTTAAACTTTTTTCTTTGTTCATATAAAAAAAAATTTTTCTTAATGCAATATTTGATAAAAAAATATTTTACAATTTTTATGTAAACAATTTTCGTAATCATTGAAATCAATAAACCTTTATGTGTCAAAATATTTTATCTGAAATATAAAACATTGGTTGCATTCTTAAATTGAAGAAAATATCTCGACTCAGTGCCGTTTCAATTGTCTAGTTTATTGTACGCGTATCAGAGCGGCATGATATGAAGACAACCATACAATATTCAGTTAAAATATTAAACTTCTTAAAAGAAACACTAAATATAGATAATACACTCAAAAGAGTATATAGTATTAATAATGAATTGAGAGGTTTTAAAAAATAGAGTATATAGTATTAATAATAAATTGAGAGGTTTCAAAAAATAAAGTTTATAGTATTAATAAAAAGTTTATAGTATTAATAATAAATTGGGAGTTTTCAAAAAATAAAGTTTATAGTATTAATAATAAATTGAGAGGTTTCAAAAAATAAAGTTTATAGTATTAATAACAAACTGAGAGCTGTCGAATAGTAGTAAACTACAACAACAAAAATTATTTTTCTATTATTTTAATTAATTGAATTTTTGGAGGGCAATACAGTTGTTGACAACCATTTAATGTTGGATATGAGAATACCGATTAAGATTTATGAGAACGAAGTAGGAACCAGCAAAAGAAGAGGCGACCAAGAAAGCAATGAAAAGACAGTACAGTAAGACTTTAAAGAAATTAACATAAGAAATTGGAAAACAAAAGAAAAAAGGGAGGAATGGAAGACTGTTGTTAAACGGGCTTAGAACCTATATGGACTGTATAGTCACGGATGATGATATACTCATTTCAATTATTAAAAAATTCACATAAAATTTGTTTACTCATCAAACAAACTTACTCACATTTGAATACATATCAACGAATCTCACTTCAATCTTATTGAACTTTAAATTAATAAAAATTTCAATTTATAACAGTTAATTATGATTATATAGCTGCGATTTATGCTTTCCTACTTAAAGTAACACACAAGTGCAATTATCGTTAACGAATAAACAAAAAAAATTGACAAATTTTTCAAAAAAACTAGGGTAGGTCTATAAAAACTTTTAAAGTCTTTCAAAACTTTAAATCTAAAAAATTGATAAATCTTAAATTAAGCGTATTTCCGGCTTTATGTGTTATACACGAGTCCACAGTTCAAGTTTCAAAAGTTTCAAAACTTGATACTCGCAATCAAAAAACTGTATATAGACTACTAAATCAATAGATTTTTAAATTAATGGACAGATATTCAATAGGATTTGAAATGTATACATGTTCAGGTCAAAAATGAACGTGACTAACAAACTATATTTTTAAAATTTAAAAATTTTTTTTATTATTATCCTCTCACTTGATTGTTTGCAATAAAAAATAAAGATATTTTCAAAATGATTAAAGTGTTCAATCAATCAATTCAAATGAATACACGCATTAGCAATAACCATTCTTCAAGATGCATGTACCTATGCACCTATAAAATGATGAAGATGATTGCTTAAGTAAGAGCAACCTCTCTTAATAAACACGTCTTGAAATCGTAACACTTATGTTCTGTAGTCCTTAATTCAGTACTGAAAACAATACCTCAAGTATTATTATACAACCGAAGAAAGGGAACAAAGAAAATAATCATCGTCTGCGATATGTCAAAACAAAAACCATAAACATAGATTTGTTGTTAGTTACAATATGTAATTAAATCTTCCTAGTGAGAATCACGTCACCATTATCAAATTAAATCTAACTAACTCCGTATTGGGAATAGGTAGCGCTGTTGTTTTAATGAATAATTTTGAATTTGCGTTCCCCCGTTCTCTTCAAAATCATGATTGGTACATCGGGGTGTGTAGCACATTACCGACTTCATCTCAGTACCTATCGAGCAATATTGTTATTTGCTTTATTGGGAATGTGCTCCATCCAATCAAATTTGTGTTTCTGAATTTCTTCTGTTGGTCTAGTTTGACCTATTCGAGTTCATAGATCAATATTAAATATTCTCTGGGCCACCATGAACTTTATTATTTAGTAATTATTTATTTTCAGAACTGTTGACTTGGCACTTTGATTTTTATCTAGTTTAATGTATATTTTTGAGTTAAGTTGACTGTATGTGTGCATGAAGTGAAGTGGCCTACTTCATAACTCATGTGATTTACATTACTTTGCGTTGGAAGTGCTTTTTTTCAGTTGTATATCAGTGAAACACAAAAATTATCCAGAACTAAGTAAGACCATTTTGGAATGAAAACATTTTCAATATATGACTTAATAATATCTCAGCATTATTAAGAACTTCTCTATGTAATTTTCTGATTTTCCTTTTCAATTTTTTCAGTTTTATTACAGATATGCAATATGTAGAAAATGTGTCTGTAACATAAATCACACCATTTTCGTTTATTTTATATTTGTTTTTTAGAAGACAGTAAATAAAAATAAATAGAAAAAATTGTATTAAAAAGTAATTAATTAATTAAGGGAAGTAACTGTTCTTTGATGACGTAGAACAACAATCGATACTTTCAGTATGATGTCATTGTCGTAAATCAATAGTAACACTTTATGACGTAAAAATTCTAAATGATTTTTGATGACGTAGAACAACAATCGATACTTTCAGTATGACATCATTGTCGCAAATCAATAGTAGAGCACTTTGCAACACATAGGAATTCTAAATGACTTCTCTAAATATCGACTTCATCGAATTATTTCTTCATTTCTAATAGTGTCATTTAAACACTCGTTTTAAAATTCTTTTAAAATTACAATACTTTATAAGAGTTAAATTATGTATATTTGTATTTTCGGTTTAATCTGGTTTATACGATTTTATTGATAAGGTTCTACAAATCGAAAAATTATACATAAAATATATGTATAATTTTATATAGTAATAAAAAATATATATTAATATAAATTACTATATTTCTGTATAGTAATTTCAATATTTCTGAATAAATAAATATTTCTTTCATTCTAAGACTATTTGACATCTTTGCCTTTCAAATTGTTAATATAGAATTTCCTACAGATCACAATAGATTCATAATGTTGAAAATTTATCATCAAATATTGCGGTATAATTTTCTTACTGGCAATCTCAATTAAAATATTATATAGTGTTTTGTATACTCCATATACTCCATTTCTTCATCGATATATTAATCACAAGTCAGTTTCGATTGAATTTGGTAAAAGGTTAGGTTAGATTGGAGTAGCACCCGTACACTTCAAAGTCCGCTACAAAACAAAAAATGATTTGTTATAATACTATGGATGAAAGTTATTCTAAAGTTATTCCCTACCAGATGACTACCTCCATTTAGGACATAATATCTCAATTTAGATAAATGCAAATCAAAATAACAATATCTCCATTTAGCTGAATGCAAATCAAAATAATAAATCTATAGATTTGAAAATAAAACTAAGGATGAGGGGGAATTAAGGACTACGCTCTTACATACGTTCATTCATAATTTATGCGTCATAATTATTTAATGGGATACAAATTAGTTTAATTACCGATTTTATTCTAAAGTCCAACTTTTTAAAATAATTTACTTTCTGACTACTGGTCTGATGATAGTTCTATCAAGTCAGTAAAAAAAAGGAGTTCAGAAATGAACACTGCAACCCAAAATCCTTCTCTTTTGCATAAAGTCTGCTTTTAGTTTAATTCTCAGTGAAATTTGAACTTGGTAGTATGTGTGGGACTAGTACACATTCATCGAACCATCAGGGCAGTCTACTGAATATATTTAGTCATACATTACAACTATCTACTGCATATAACTTAGAAAAAGGAATATCAATTACGTAGCAAACATATTAACTTCAATATAGCAAGTACACAATGCTCAACTTAGAATATATATACTAGCATTTAGTCTTACATCAAGCTAACAGCAACGAAAAATGGAAAACTTAAAAATAGAGTATAAAGGAAAAGTGCTAACTAACTGCACTAAAATGATGTGAGGAAAAATTTCTTTAGATAAATTTAGACTAAACATTTTTAATGTCAAAAAATAAAATAAGTTTATTTCTAAACAGTCGAACAATAAATTATTTTTGGTTTTCTTTTACACATCTTTTTTTTCATTACGGGCAAGAACATATAATTAAGTTTTTATTTTTAACATAAATTAAGTAAAGTAGCAAACAGAATAATAAATAAATTACTATAATAATAAATAATGAAATACAAAATGAAATCTCAGTTTAGGAACTTATTTTCTGCATTAAAAATTCAATAACGCAAAAGTGAAAAAATAATGCAAAACTTTCACTGTCTTAAGTTTAGAATAAAAACAAATTTGCTAAAAATCCTTACAACATAAAAAATTTAAAACCTCACGAACAGAAGAACATTTAGTAAAATTAAACTGAAGGATAAATGCAATCCAAATCCTGCAGCGTTTCTCTCAGCGAACAAATACTGCTGGATAAATGCAGAGCCCACCATTCCCGTATACTCCGGACTGTAATTGTAGATGAGTACATTAGCTTCTTCGGTTTTATTGGCGAAGCTGTTGTGATTTTTGCGCGTCTCCATCACAAAGAAATCAGCAAAATATTGCGAGGTTGTGATGGCCTTTGAGATGTGTGTAATGTTGCGATTCAGCACAAACTCGTAAAGATTTTTCTCCGGATGAAACTGTACACCATAAAAAGGATATCTGCACAAAAGAAAAATTAAATTTTAATAATTTAGTGACTTACACAGGGGAATGTGAAATTCTGCATAGTTTTACTTACTTTTTGTGCTCCACAGTTGAGATGAATTCACTTCCATTCCAATCATGATTTATACTCAAAATATTCCAATCATCCAACAGGTTCATGTCAGCAAAAGTCTGAAAAGTTGTACAAAATTAAATTATTCAAGTGGTTTGGTGGCATCAACAAAATGGCCGAAAGGCCCATATTTTAGGGTTTTATGGCACACATGGGACTTGCATGTGAATATGCAATTATTTAATCATGAAGTCGGGACTACTTCTCGCAACGTAACCAATTAAAATTTCTTACAAAATATATTTGCTAAATGTGATTGCAGTCATCACATTATTATCATTGCATAAAAACGCATTTATTATGCTTTTGCTTAGATAAGTCTATGTTTGTTGATGAAATAAAACAGTTTTTAACCCACGCAAATTAAAATTTGTAGTAAATTTAGAATTACGGTATAACAGATAATGCTTACCTTCTGCGTAAAGCAATAGATATGGAAATTAGCAGTTACGGGATAATTTTCAAAAATATTTATCACTTCAGTGCTTGCTTCCTTAAATAGGCGGCTATTTTGGTAACCTTAAAGCGAAATAGAATAAATTTTTATAGAATAAAATATTAATATAAAGTTTTTTTAAATTAAAATTATAAAAAAATAAATGTTTTATTAAATATCTTATTATTTTGGAAACTTACGACGGGCAGCAAAAAAAAAATCCTACTGGGCACAGTCAAGATCGAAGTAACAAAACTTGTGGTGGTAGTAACAGGACACTTATAACTGATCACACATGCCAAAAAAATTACCTAACCCCTTCAACTAGATATGCAGAGAATTTAAAGAGAAAGAGACAAAAGAAATAACTGAACACTTCAATGAGGGAATAAGGGTTCCAAGAACGGTCGGGTCTATGTCGCGGAGGAGCCATTCGTCGCTAACGTTAAACACCTCTTAAACAGACTTCACAAGCAGGTCCCAGCGGGTACAATAAAAACAACATGAGGGAATAAACAATGAAGTTGTTAACTAAAGAGATGGCAACAAAGACTGTCAAAAGCACTAAAGCTTGTTATGAAAAGTGAAATTGACAGGTGAAATATGCTTCAAGTTCATGGCTAAGTGCCTAGAACGTACTCATGGTATGAATAAAGTAGTAGAAATAGCAGTGGAAAGCTCCAGACATATACTTGCAAAAACGCTGAAATTAAAAAATTAATTAAACCGAATAGATAAAGAATAGTAAAAAGATTATTTAAGTTGTATTAGGAATAAGCTAGGAAGAGACGGTAGACGTTTATAGACATTATATAAATTTGTCACAGTAAGAAAGAGAGATTTAACGAAAAGGAAGAACACAAAATTTTGTATATATATATATAATTAATATATATGTTTATACTATTGTAATTTATAGTGTATATTACACAAAGTAAGTTATATCACACAAAATATTTACTTTGTAAGCTTTTGTAAGTTTATAATAAATTTAGTCTGTAGTACAATTCAAATCCATGCGTTTCACTTTGGTGAAAATAATCCCCACAGAAAATAATAATTTTAATAAGTAATATTTATTAGTATTATTATTCATTTAAAACTAGACGAATACAATACTATAATTTTTATTAACTTTTATTTTCAAAGCCAATTCTAACGAAAGAAATCGTATTTATTAATACAAACTATTTTTTTAATAGTGAGGTGTTTTGAACAATAGTGAATTACAACAACAAAATTTTTTGTTTATTAATTCTTTGAATTTTTGTCTGACCATACAGCTGTTTCGAGTATTGCCAAATACCTATCATTAATGGTCTCATATATAGCAACAGTAATAGTTTGAAAAACATATCAAAATCGTGTTATATATGGCATCAGACATTAAATAAAGAGACTATTTTGGTTACAAAAAAAGTCATTAAATCTAAACTGTTTCTTGAGAGAGATATATGTTAATACGAATAAAATTTTTGATAAAAGCCAATAAGAAGTTATTATTCCTAATAATTTAAAAAAAAATAAAACTCATATCAACGTATAGATTTTAATCTTACCATCCTTAAACTCTAATGGCAGAGCTTGCGATTGTGATGAGCAGCCAGTTCTGGGATCAGTACCATTAGCTGATAAGTATACTAAAAGTTCATAACCCAAACATGTACCCCAAATTGGCATATAAGTGCCATTATTATTCATTTCAATTGCTATGTTATAGATATGTTGACCAGCATCATAGTAACCATCACTATTATTAAAATATGTAGCACCTCCGGGCAATAGGACCCTTAAATTAAAAAGAATAGATAATTAAAATTGAAGAATATATAAATTTATTAGTACTCACCCATTAATTTTAGACATAATATCTTCATAGTAATCACGTTCTTTACCAATCCTGTCAAATTAAAAATAATAATTATTAATTGGTGTTATGCTATGTATCAGTTATTTATAACATTTATCTGGAGAACTATTTTACTACATAAAAAAATCTAAATATAAAGTATTTTAAAAATTTGTGATCAAATCTTTTTTTCAGTGACGTGAATTTCTTATCGTTTACGCACGGTACCGAAATAATTTTACCTATGTATCTCCATCTATATATTATAGCGTCTAGCTTAACTTGACAAAATTTATAAATAATTTTGACAATAATATCTGTCACGATCTTAACTATTAACGTGCACTTCAACTTGTTTCACTATTTTTGTCATCAAATTTTTGATAAGGAACTATGCCATTCCAAGCAATAATTCATTGACGATTACTGGTCTGAAAATATTAACACTATATTTTATCAATAGAAGCAATTATTTATAGAATGCACTAATTAAGAAGTCATATATAAAAATATATTTAATTAAATATATTATTCATATATGCCATACATTTATACTAGTATAGTTTTAGAATGGTTGGTTGGTTGGTTGCAGTGTCAGACCATTAGATAACTTTCATTAGATAACTTTAGCGATTTTGCGCCGTTTTGCTACCACATTGCTCGCAAGAACCCTAGTATAGAAGAGTAGAGACTAAATCCATCCCGCCGAATTTAGATAATTTAATAGACCTTTCGTGTTCACCAATAAACAGACTGATAAACTATCTAAGAAGTATCATCCTAAGAACCTATATCTTCTGGACACCAAAGACGAGCATTGACAAAGTAAATGTATTATGGTTTCTTTTTTCTGCGGGTTTGCACAACTTCTGCAGTGAGGATTATGGGGAATGCGCAGTTTCTCTGCGTTTGTTTCTGTACACCAATGACCAGAAAGAATTTAGATTTAGATTAAGGTTAGAATAATGGAATTAATTCTGTCACATTTTTTTTAATTAACCTCTACAATAATAATGTTCTAAAATGATATTCTAAAATAAAATATTCTAAATAAATATTTTTAAGGTGTTCTTTTAAGTAATGTAGAACTGAAAAAAAAACTTACACAATTATAGCAAATAAATCAAATACTTTTTTAATTTATAGATAATTTATTGACATTAATGACTAAATACCATAGTCGGTCAGTTGACCTTCACTAAACGGCCTAGGTATTCCATACTAAAACCCCAATTCAACACAATTTTTTTTGAATATGTAAGCCCGAATCTCAAGGTTGCTTATAACACTGTTATTATTATTAACTGGTACGAATAATTTAAAATACTTTCACAAAAAGGAATCCACCGTCGGTAAATCACCCAATTAAGAAAAACAAGAAAGTTGTTTTAACAACTTGTATCTTATCTAACAATGTTACATGTGGAACAGTCTCAGTCAAATAAATCATTAATTATGAGACTATTCCGAGTGTCATTAGAGTAGACACTCTGATATTATAATCATATCAGAAGTCCATCAGTCCACCAACAATATCGAATAGTAAAATTTAAAGGATTTAAGGATAAGAATAAAAATCCCATAAACATCACGTGCACAGACGCAGGGGTATTCGGGTGGTGATTTGCCAAAAATTAGTTAATAAAAATTTGATGTTATTTAACAGATTAATTAGTAGCTTTTTGAGTGGTGTTATATTTATTATAGAAACTAGATATAACTTCGTCTAATGATTACTGTCCAAACTGCGAGTCAAAAGTTATAGAAGAAAATGCATTTGTGTGATGTGACATCAGTTTTCAATCACTGATATACATGATTAAATTAGAATCCGATTAAAAATTAGTGATATCACTTAATATAGTATAAATAAATCCATAAATGTTTTAAGACACAAAAAAGTGCAAGTGTTTCATAAGAATCAAATGCACCTTGACATTCTTAGTCAAATTGCTATTGGTAACTGCTACCTATAAAAAAGCATTGTGTAGTATGTGGTAGACGCGATAAGGCGTCTATTGATGAATTATTGTAAGTTCTCGTATCTACACTTATGAAGGAATTTCTTTCACCTCAGATAGATATTAATCATTAAACCACATCAATGTTTGACACTCCGTTTCGTGAATCAATTCTTTGTGGAAAATATTTTATCTACATTATAAAAAAAAGGACATTGGAACTGTGGGTTTTCTAGCTCGACCTCTGTTCAATATTGGAGCTATCTGTAAACCAGACAATATCGTTGATTGTGTTGTCTGGTATAATAGAACTACGCTTTCTGTTGGTCATGTGTTTTTTGGTTCATATAATATACAGACATATCAAAGTATTAGAATTGTTTTAATTTAACCAATATGAATAGGTGTCTAACACTTTATGTCTTTTTGTCCAGTAGACAAATATGATAAAGGCTATATATGCTGATGGATGCAAATACCTGCAACATAAAACTTAGTGGCAATATACCTAATACAACTTTTCTAAATGAATAATAGTGATTGTTTTTAAAGTTTTTGTTCTTTATTGTCGGTACAATCAATAATGGTATTGTCGGTACAATCGTCTGGAGGTATATCTGCTCAACCGTATATAACAAAGCCCACAAACTCTACAAACTCGTTTTCATAGCCAAAAAGCTAATGGTTTTTTGAACTATGCGAAAAAAACCAACCTTAGAAAACCAATCTTAGTAACAATCCCTATCTGATACAACAGTTTTAAAACTTTAATTATGCGGTCTATGTAAGGTGCACACAACTTGATCATCTTTATCTGTAACCACTATTACTAATCTATCTGCATAGACAAAAACTTTATATACGTGAGAGCCTGGTTTAGGCTATCTATGACGATAAAAGTAGACTAAAAAGAAAATCAAAGAAAGTCTACTTAGCAAGGATGACATTTTCAATATTTGATTTTGAAAATTTTTTGAATTTAACCCATTTTTATCGACATTTGAATATTTTTTTTCGATTTTTCCAGTTTTTTTTTTGTTGCGGTTAAAGTGATTTCTTGATGGTTAAAATGAAATAATGCTGACGAAATAAAATGTTGATGGCGTTTGAAAAGAACGCAAAAAAAATTTTCATTTTTCATCTGCATTACCAAGACATATTATATATCTACAGCTGACTAAATAGAACATCTAAAATTTGTTTTTTTAAAACAGATAATTAATAAAAGTTTAGTTAGAAATTAATTACTTGTGATTATTAATAAAGAAAAAATCTAAATGAAAAAATCTAATGACAAACACTACTGGTACAATCGATTATATATAAAAATCTAGGCACATTTATATTAGCTCTTATATGATAATAATATTGATATCTGTGTTCAGTCGACAGTACATGAACCAGTACTATAAGATATCAAATATACTAATTTATCACATGCAAGTTAGAAAAGCATAAGCAGTCATATATTGCAGTGTAATTTTTATTTTACATTTTTTCCATACTACACTCTATATAGTACTTTTTGCTATAAAATATTTGCTATAAAACATGTACAAAATACTGTTTTCATGAGTCAGCATAATTTTTAAAATACATAAATAAATTTTTAAACCTGTACTAATGGAAATATTTTAAACTTAAATACACTATATTTCAAGAAATACGTAAATTCATATTAAGAATTTGTTAAACTGGTCAAGTACTGACACCTGATAATTTAGATAGCAACAAATCGTCATATTTATAAAAAAGATTAGATAAATACAGTTCTTGTCTCGGTTTATCTTATATTTTTTTATTTTTTATTTAAATATGTAAAAAATAAGTAAACAATTAGTTTGTAAAAATTTATAAAAATCATGAATACAAAATCTTAACAGGGGGAATCACAAAGTTCACCTTAAACAAATAATTTAAAGATTATAAATTTTAAATTAAGTGATATTTAAAAAAATTATAGCATTTTAATTAATAAATATTAAGAAGCAATATATTGTTGATGATGAATTTTTATAACCTTTTTTAACAAAAAAAATTTAAGATATTTGATGGAAATCTTTGAAGTCAGTAGTCAGCAAGAATAGTAAGTTTAATACAGCAACAACCCGACGTATAATTAGATCCATTTAAGGAGGATTTTAAAACTAATTCAATATTCATATGAAAACATTGAATTAAATAAATTTATTATATGTAATGTAAATAGATCTGAAATATAGTAGAAAGTGTTTGAACTTTCGGAGCAGGAATATTAACTCTAAGTTCAATAAAGGAACTGAGCCGCTCATTGAATATATTCATATATGTACAGCAATCATAAAAGAAAAGAATAAAAAATATTGACAGAATCAGATCAATAGGATTCTTTATGCTAGAATTCTTTTATTAATTTCTTACAAAAATTTGACAAGCTCTTTCCTTTATTAGTATTTGCGAATATATTTGCTTTTACGAATATTCTTTTCAGTATTCAACGAACTAAATACGAAATCATCAGCTACTCATCTGTTAAAAATAAATTCTAAAAATGAAAAGAAAAAAAGTTTTAAAAGAAAAGAAATATATTAGATTATAAGCGAAAAATTACAAAAGCAGTTCTGAAACACAGTTGGTATTATAGAATTTTAGGTTAGCAACATAACATTTCTCCGATCTGAGTCCCGAGTTATCGTAACTTAGAAGGATACAATATAGGTAATGATTTCTTTAGGAAGAAATCTGTCATACAAAAAAAGACTTACAGAACTGACGCTCACTCCCATTAATGTGGTTAAGCGAGCTATTAAAATCTTCAAATTGAAAATATAGAAAGATACTAAGTAGGTGATGAATTCTCTAGGAAAAAATCTATCATGCAAAAAACTCCGCAGAACTAATGCTTACTCCTATTAATGTGGTTAAACGAACTGTTTAAACCAGATTGATTTGAACAGCAGCTAAATTTCAACCTCAAGCAAACAGTGATAAATAGAAAATAAGAGAATTCTCTAGACAGACAGCAGTACTTGCTGGCATCTGACTTATTGGAGATCGGTTGGGTAGAATAGGAATGAGTCACAATATTTATTATCACAGTTGCAACAAAAC